TCAAATCTTGGATATGTCCATGAAGTTATGCCTATTCAAGAAGACTTAAAGTTAGAGAACAGGCTGGAGACTATGATGCAAATCCTACTAAACAAGTTTGAAGAAAGGGAATTGCGACACAATCAGGCGATTCAGACTCTAAAAACTCAAATCAAGCAGTTGTCTAATGCAATTAGCGATCTCTATTCTCTCTCTCTCCATAATCATCGTCTTTCAATTCTTGCCCACCTTTCCCAACGACACCCCACAACCTCTGTGTTCTTTTTTCTCTCATCTTCCATTCTCTCTTTCCTTCCTTTCTCTCTACTAGTAGTATCTTCATTTCCTTAATTTAATCATGACGTTGGATTCCTCCTCATGTATTTTTTATTATACCCACGTCCCCCAACTCTAACCTTGTCATCGGTAATATTTAATTCTAGACATGCGTAGTTTCAAAATGGTATGTGAGAAATTTTTCATAAATAAATGTTCATCAGCTCTTGACCCAAGTTCATGAATACATAGAGATAGATAGAGCACATATGGAAAAGGGAGAAATTGTTGCTCTTGGAAGAGCTTCTCATGGCGGTGAAGATGTAGAGAGAGAAAGAAAGGAGAGTGTGAGAATGGAAGAGTATCGAAGAAGGAAATTGTGGGGGGTGTCATTGGAAGGAGAGGGGGGGAAGAAGACGATGATTACAGAAAGAGAGAGAAAATATTGATCAGTTGCAGACTATATGAAAGAGTGGTGGAGAAGCTGAGCAAAAAGACATGCCATTTAAACTTAAAGTAACAGTGTTATAACGGAAGGACTTCCATCAAAACAAAAAAATATAATACGGATTCAATTAAAAAAGAAAAAAACTATAAGGACCTTATTTAAAATCAGGTAAAATTATAAGGATTGGCAAATTAATTTTCCCAAGATAAAATTATATATTTGTCCCTTTTAAAAAATGTCAAGTAAAGTTTAAAAAAATTAATTAATACTGATCGTGACTTCACATCTTATCTCTTTCAAAAATTTCTAATCCCGCCTAATTATTTTTTCAAAATCAAACTTACTAAAAAGTTCCCCCACCCCTTATCAAATTCGGGTAAAAATTAGTAGAAGTTAAATATTGAGTACATTTTAATTTGATAGTTTTACAACAGATAATAATGCAAATAACTATGAAAATCAAAGTATTGATTGGCGTGCATGTTTTTAATGTCCATGAAATAGACAGCATTCTATTTGATTTTAGAATTTGTTATCCACAAGCATACTTAAATATAAACAATAATTTATTTTAGCCACAAACCAATTTTATTTTCTTATGAATTACTTTCAAATTTGTTAGCATGTGCAAAATTAACTTTATTTTATTTTACAACATTCTAGATCACATTAAAAGTACAAGCAACAAAATATTTAATTTAGAATTTGTTATTCTATGTATGTTAGAATTTCAGGTAACAAAAAGTTTTTACTGGGTCACGCACTTACTCTTTTTATTATTTTAAATTAAATCATTTTTCCATTCCATCTCCCACACTCATCTTCTCAAAAGGTTTCATATCCACCGTGCATTTTTCAACTCCTCACAGTTGAAGTCATTTTGCAATCCATAAAATAACTTCTTATTATACTCTTCCAGTCCTAAATATAAAAACTATTTTATAATGCGAATAGGTTACATTTAGGACTAGAGGAGTACTATTTTCTCTTGATAAAGTTCAATTCTATGAAATGAAGAAAAATATACAACTGAGAGAGAAAACTTATACTTTTTCTCCATTTTTCATTAAATACCTATGTATTTTTTCTATTAATTAATCTTTACTTTTATTTAACTTTATTCTATCAGCGTTGTTAGTATCTGGACAAGTGCTAACACAGCAAAGTTACACGAGTTGATGATGCTAACAGAGCAAATTTTTAAAAAAAAAATTGAGAGAAAAAACACACAGGCACCAAATTAAAATTTGAAACAACATATGGATACCAATAAAATGGTTTTTTCCAACTAAATTTTTTTGACCAAATTTTCCAACTAAGATTGATATAAAGAAGTTTAGGAGACAGAGAATTAATAAAACATCAATCTCGCTCGAGCGAGCAAGCGAGCGCACGCGCGCAGAGAGAGAGAGGAGAAAATACAACAGAGAATAAATGACTTTTTGGCCGTAAACATCCTCACATAAAAATGAATAATAAAAAAAGTAATTTCCAGAAAATAATCATTATTAAATAAAACCATTCAAGTCTAAGAGTGTGTGTGCAAGACGAGATGTTAGGGGCAGGAAGTATATAAACAGGCATCTTTCACCATAACATCCAACGTTTTCATTCTCCATATCCCCTTCACCATAACAAATTGAAATTTGCAAATATCAATTCAAGAGATCTATCAAAAATTTAAAATTAACATAGCACCACAGGAGTATCAAAAGACCTTGCTAACAAACATGACGATGACAGCCAAACATCCAAATTTATGGGCTTACAATTATTGACAAGAGATGCACCAAAGAAAACTAAGTACCTAAGAAGCTAACTGTAGAACTTTCAGAAAGCTGCAATTGAGCCATGCTTAGTCCCCAGCACAGGATTATGGACTTCCAATCTTTCATGCAGTAGTCCAGCTCACACATTCTTGTGTTCATTAATTTCCTTTTATTTCATGGAATTGATAGTTATTTGTTCAAGAGCAAAAATAAATACTTTGTCCAAGCCTAAATGAAGGAGCTAGTTGTGCAATTTCTTTTGATCCTAAATATAAGATTTTAATATACTTAAACTCCAAAATTTATGATTTTTTCTAAATTATCCATATCGATTGCATATATTAATGAGAATCTTCATCAATAAGGATGGTTTCCAATGTATATTGTTAACGACAATATTTTGAGAAAACCAACCAACACTTCTTACAAATAACAACCAATTCTCTTCATGTTTGTAAATTAATTATCCAGCTTCTACATTTAAAACCAGAAGGAATAACCCAAAACTGTGCATTACTTGTAATGTTTTTTTTGTTTTACTTTCCGCTATTGTCTTCTTTAAAACTTAAAGGGAAAACTAATTTAGAGGTCCTTATAATTCGCTTCAGTTTTGAACCAGGTCCCTAAATTTATTTTTCTTTTTATTGGGTATTTTAACTTTCTACTGTTAGAGTTGTTAGTCCCTGCCGTTTAAATCTATTAAGTATTGACACCGTTGAGAAGTTCTGTTGGAAGACACGACCCACTCAATAATAAAAAGCCTTGTCTAAAAGCATCCTCTTTTCTTCATGTTCGCATCTTCGTCCACCGTGCCAAGCTCTCCTCTCTCTTTTTGCTCATTCCTTCTCTTCTCTCCCATTCTCTCAACCTATAAATGGCTCACAATTTCTTCTCATCTCACCATAATACCTCTCTGCGGTCACATCTCCTTCTCTGTCCAACTTGAGGCCATTTGAAACTTTTTGTAATGAATGAGAATTATTTTGCAGTTTTGATGGATGCAACCTCATGAAATGTATTGGAGGTCCTTTAACCAAACCAAATATTATTGTCATAGTAAAGCACAAAATAGGACTCAAAATCTTCGCCATGCCATGTAGATGCTTCACAGATCAATGTTTAAGCACAAAAGTAAAGATGCATTCATTCTAAGCAATTTTCTAATGCTTCCAAAAATTAAGGTAATGATGTTCAAATGGCTAAAAAGTTGTCTGCAACACAGAAAAATGACAATTCTATTTTTATTCAAGCCCCTGTTTTAGTAATAGTAAAACAGAGAGATCAAGGAAGTAACCAACAACTTCTCCAAAGCTAAACTAGACTAAATCCTCAAAAAGGTTTGACTCATTGCCCAATCAACCATGGTAACCTTGTCCACTTCCTTGGCTATCGCATCAAACGCGACTGCCAATCCCTTCTTACCTATGAATTCATCTTCAGGCACTGTTTCACAATTGTGTTGGACAAATCCTTGAAGGAACTACAGCTTGACTACCTATTTCTCTATCTGGTATACTTTCTCATTGATCTATCGTTCAAGAATGGTAGGGGAGATGGTGATGAATGGGCAAAAAGAGAGAGGAGAGCTTGGTCCTGAGGTTGTGGTTGAAGGAGACGATGCTAACTAGAAGAGAAGACGATGTTTTTAGAAGTGGCAATCAAGTGGGGCAGTGCTTTTTAACGGAAATTCTTGACAACATTAATACTTATTTAACAAATTTAAACTGCACGGACTAACAACTCTAACGGTGAAAAGTTAAAGGAGCTAAGAAAAAGAAGAAAAAAAATTCAAGAACCTGATTAAAAATTGAGGTAAATTCTGAGGACCTCCAGATTAATTTTCCCAAACTTAAAAATACCCCCTAAAGACCAGTATCAACACAGTGCATGTAAGTAGCTTCAAGAAACATAATAATATTTCATATCTCTTTTAGAGATGTGAGGTGCATCATAGCCCATATCAGTCAACAGTGATAACTTGGTAACAGACACAATCCATTGAAACAGACAACTTGGTAACAGACAATACATGTTCATCCATGTCTTGTTCAACAGTGACAACTTGGTAACAGACACAATCCATAGAAAGGTTCAACATCTTATGTCAGGAGTAGCGATATTATGAATCAGCAAAGTTCAAGATCAAGTTCACGGTGCTGCACAGCTACAGAGGTTCAAATAACACAGCCAAAACCAACCCACGACTAATATAATAGCATATTTCCTCAATTAGTATACATAAGCTTAAGAGTTAATAAATCTAATTAAATAAACTATAATAAATCTAATTAAATAAACTATACAAAAAGAACAAACAAAGTTACGATACGCCACAAGAAAATATTGTAACAACAAGAAGTGAAAATACATCAGACATATGATGTAAACAGAACATGGGCAATTGCAGTCAGCTGTTATAAACTCCACGAAGTTTAATTGCAAGAAACAAATCTGTTGAATATCACAGCAAATTTCATCACAAAAGTGAGTATCAACAATCAAATAATTCTGAAGCAAAGTATCTAACCTTAAACTCTTGGGAACATCTCATCTAGTAGTTCTTTTGCCATATCATTCTCCCCTTTTTTCAAAAGAGGTTTAATAATTCTATCAAAAGTTACAGCATTAGGGGAGCATCCATTCTCTTTCATTTTAGAAGCCAAGGCCTTAACCTCATCAAACAAGCCCTCTTTACAGAGCCCATTCATCATTGAAGTATATGCTTGGACATCCAAAGGACAGCCATTGACCAAAAGATATCGAAAAATCTGCCGCGCATCATTTAACTGACCAGCATTGCACAAACCATTAATAAGTATAGTATATGTGCATGTATCAGGCTGAATTTTATGATCAACAATTCGCTGAAATAATGTGATAGCCTGATCAAGATGACCACTTTTGCACAATCCATCTAACAAGATATTATAAAATATTATATTTGGGGCCTGACCTCTATCATACATCTCATAAATAATATCCTGCACATAGGACATTTTACGGGATTTGCATAAACCATCAACAAGAGAGCTATATGTGACAATATCGGGAGTCAAACTTTTGCTCTTCATCTCCAAAAAGAGATCCACGGCCTCATCCATCATCTTGATTTTACAGAGTCCATTAATTAAAATACTATAACTAATAACATCAGGAGCCAAACCACTCTTGGCCATCTTGTTGAATAGATTTCTTGATTCCCTCACATTATTAATCAAACAGTAACCATCCATTAAAGTGTTGTAAGTAACTACATTAGGTCTTATACCACACTTCATCATCAAGCCAACAGCAGCTTCAGCTTCGGTAACACTTCCTTCTTTGCAAAATGCATCAACGAGTATAGTAAAAGTATAAACATTAGGGTTGATGCCTTCATGTCTCATTTGATTAAACAATTTTGCAGCTTCTGACCATTTACCCATGACACAAAAACCACAAATAAGAGAGTTGTAGGTCACAATATTAGGGCATATTCGATGATCAATAATTAATGCTACTTCTCATATTAAATTTTAAAAGATAAATAAGAAATTTATCTTGATCCTAAATTTAATATTCTGATTCATTTTTCCTTTCAAATTTTTAACACAAATCACAAAAAATATTTGTTAAATTTTAAAAAGATAAATGAGTATTTTTATAACGGTTTTGGCTATTTTGTAATGATTTTAACATTTGATAAAATTACTTATTTATCATTTTAAAATTCAATTGATATTTTCTTGTTATGTTTTCAGATTTACGAGATTTTTTAAAAATTATTCCTATTAATTATACATATTGCGTCTAAAAATAATAGGGATATTCTAGAAAAAGAAACACGCATCCTCATAAATAATTAATTTAACTAATTTTTTTAATTTATTCCAATCAATTATGAAACCTTTATAAACTAAGGATTGGAGATAATAAAATTCAAGATTAAAGTTGAGTATTGATTTGATTTTTCTGGCGACAAGCCATGAGAAGAAAATTATGTCCTGTACATATTGAAATTTATTCAAATTTTGTTTTTCTGCCAACGAAAATATATATTTATATAAAATAAGGTGCAAAGTCATACAAATAAAAGATGACAAATGACAAAGCAAAATAACATAAGAACTGGGAAAAAAAAAAACTACACACAAGTGGCAGAGTTCATTAGGATCAACCAGGACTGTTGAGAGTCCTTGTGAATGTCATTCACCAATAATAGGGAAAATTTTATTCAAGGACGGCAGTTGAAAATTTATTTCAAACAGCCTTTAAAACATTTTGAAATGTCACTGCAGGACCAACGGACCAAACTAAAATTAAAATTAAAAGTAAAATTACAATAATATTCCTCATTTTATTTTTTTTAAAAATAAATGTTAATAGTCAATGGAGTTCTGACCACCAAAGGTCAGAGGTCCGGCCACCAGCTCTCAGATGGCCGCTACTGTAGCTCCAGTGGCCAAAAGATTTTTTTTAAAAAAAAGGTGGCCAAGGGAAGGTTTAAACTCATGACCCATTGGCACACCAAGGTATTTGGATAGAAACTAAACCATGATTTTAAAAGTACTTCTACAGTATACAAAGTAAATATATAGAGAAGTTTACCTTGTTTTACAGAAAAGTGCTTTTGAGAAGCACCGTGGGTGCTTCCAAACACCCCCTATTATGCAAATAAAAATATATATAATGCAAATAAAAATTTAGTCATATAATGCAAATAAAAAAATATATAACAAAATAAAAGTAAGTGTCTAAGTGTAAGTAAACAAATGAAATTTAACAATTTACAAATGAAATTTAACAATTTACAACAAAAATTTGGTAATTTACAAATAACATAATGGAATTCACAACCCCAAGTGCAATGTTTAAGTGTAAATAAGAAAATGAAATTTGAAGATTTACAGCAAAAGTTTATGGATTTACAACCCAAATTCGGTTATTCACAAGAAACACAAGAAAATTTATAACCCAAAATGTAAGTGTTTAGGTATAAATGAACAAGTGAAATTCAGCTATTTACAACCTAAATTCATTTATTCATAAGAAACATAAATATTACAAAACTGATAAGAGAATTCACAATTCCAAATACAAGTATTCATGTTTCTTATGAATCGTTGAATTTGTATTGTAAATATCGTAATTGTTGTGTAAATATCTAAATTTCACTTGTTCATTTATATTCAAATATTTACATTTTGGGTTGTAAATTCCTTTTTATTTTTGTGAATCACCAAATTTGGGTTGTAAATTCATGAACTTTTTTTGTAAATTTTCAAATTTCACTTGCTCATTTATACTTGAATATTTGTATTTGGGGTTGTGAATTCTATTATATTATTTGTAAATCCCCAAATTTTTGTTATAAATTGCTGAATTTCACATGTCAATTGTTAAATTTTACTTGTTTCTTTACACTTAGACACTTATATTTGTTTTGTTATATATATTTTTATTTGCATTATATGACTAAATGGTTTGGTTGGTTTTGTGGTCACATCACTTTTGATGTGCCAATGAGTTATGGGTTCAAACCTTTCTTTGGTCACCTTATTTTAAAAAAAAAAAAATCTTCCTCCTACCGTAACTACAGTAGCAATAGCGGCCACCAGAACTCCAACCTTCGGCGGCAGCCACCTGAGCGCCAATGGTCGAAACTCCGACGACCATTAATATTTATTTTTAAAAAAATAAAAATGAAGGGTATTATTGTAATCTTACTCTTAATTTTAATTTCAGTTTGATCCTTTGGTCCTGTAATGATATTTCAAAATGTTTTGGGGGCTGTTTGAAATAAATTCTCAACTGCAGTCCTTAATCAAAATTTTCCTGCCAATAATATATTACCTCGAGCTATTTTAACTTTTAGTTTAGTCTAAAATATAAAATCTCAATCCACTTTATCTCTCATATTTATTTATTTATTTCAAAGCAATCTTTGTATTAGTTGCATATGTTAAATATTTCATCAAATAGTAGTTTTAGCTAATACATATTATTAGCAAGAATATTATAGAAAAAATAAATTATTTATTACAAATATCTAACTTTAGATTTTTTAAATTTTTTTAATCTATTCAAATTAGTCAGCTAACTCTTCTACTAACCCCGATCCTTAATGTAAGAACTCGTTTGACTTTTCTTTTGATTCCAAATATAAAACTATAATCCATTTTATCACTCATATTGATCCATTTTTTCCTAAGGTAATTATTACAATAATGATAATTCTAGCAAATATACTTTATTAGCAAGAACATTATAAAAAATACAATTCCTATTTATTACAAATAACTAACTTAACTAGTTTTTTTTAATCTACTCAAATTAGATAACTAATTCTTATATTAATAACTAGAAATAGTATTAAGAAGTAGAAATAGTATGAATCCACTCAAAAGAATGATTCTTGATCAAATTCACTGAGACCAGACTTCTCAAAGAAAACGTGATATCTCCAACGAGAGGAAGGAGATTGTTGGAGTAATAATTTTAATTAGCGATTTGTTATCTGATTTTGGAACTGAATCTCAGTAATTTATTGAAATTTTGTTAATCAAATAAATATTGTGAAAGCAAAATAGCACTGATAAGTTTATTAAAATTATGCCACTGGTAATGTGAATCACCACATGTTTTAACGATAGCTCATTCCTCATTCCGAAAAACAAATTCGGCCTTACATTTATCATATGTTCGTTTGAAGTTTCACCCATTTTTTCATGTTCAGTTTCATGTTTGAAAATTTCACCAGTTCAGGCAAAAGAAAAAAAAGAAAAGAAAATTTCACCAGTTAGGTGGACTTGAATTAAAAATAGAGAGAACCATAATAGAGTGTCGTGTAAAAAAATATTTATCGAAAATTTTTAATGACAAGTGACTAGTTGTCATTTTTTATTCTAAAATTAGTATAAACTTTTTAGTTGTCATTGAGATTTTATAGTAATTATATTGCTTCTTAAGATTTCATTGTAATTTTCTCAATAAAAATACTTTTTATATAGAAAATAAAATTTTTAAAAAAATTTAGTGTTAAATTTTTAAAATTTTAAATCAATATTGGTTACTACACTTGTAAAAAAAACTACATTTCGAAAAGCAAATAACAATATATTTTTATAGTAATTCTTGATTTAGAATTTTGAAATTTAACAGTCATTTTTATATTTTGAAATTTAACAGTCATTTTTATGGGATTTTTCTTGTAAAATATCTTTATTTTTTTAACTAATAAAATACATTCTAATTTTATTTCAATTTTAATCATGTATGAGTACCTTTTTTTGGAACAATTCATGGGCGAGGGCCATCCAGCTCCATCTCATTCTGCAAATACTGGACCGCACTAGTACTGGCTGTAAATTGATAAATTCCAAAATATTAAGCAAATGAACCGCTTAATTCGCTGAAAATTTGGAGGGCCTTGTTTAGGACCTATTTGGTGTCTTCCCAAACCATAGACTGCCAAACAGGGAGAATTCTGAAAGAAACTATGATTTGGGTCAAAACTAAGGTTTTGAAATCTGATGGGGTGTTTAGATCAATGATTTTAAAACCGAACCAGACTAGATGGTTAGAACGGTCCGATCGGTGATCGGAGAACTTTTCGGTTCGTCTTGCATTGTTCAGCCGTTCAGCTAGTTCAACCATCTTGGGCTGCTTCAAGCCGGCTGTTAGGCCGGTAGCCAGAGTTCACCCGGAAGCCGGAGTGGTTTTTCAAAAACTGAACGGCCGACTTGTGTCGCCTAGAATGTTGAAGAAAGATCGAAGTCCATCCCCAAAAAGCCCCCTTAATCCCCAATCTGTGTCATTGTCTCTTGTTCATTGTTTAGTCTATCCTCCCTTCCTCTCGACATTCAACAGAAAGTGAGAAGCTAAGAATTCAGACACTCCATTCCCCGGATTTTGACAGTCGCTCTCTCGCTCGACTATGAATGTGAAGACGCAGTATAGTATGCTGCCACTGAAATTCTGACCTTCCATTGGTTACCCATTCAAACAGAGTACGCCGTCGAAGTTACTACCTCAAACTTCAAGCCTTGTCGTGCGACTCTTCCATTGTTCTCTGCTTTTAAGTTACCGAGTCATGAGTTGCAGACTTGGAAATAAGGTGAATAGTGAAATTTGAATGTGAAGGATCAGTCACTGGCGGAGAAAGAGAAAGTTAGTGATATTTTATATTTATTTTTTTGTTTGTCTTTTGTGGGATGTGTGAGCTAAGAGGGACCGCCCATTACCCTCTCTACTATTAATTTAAAAAGAAGATCAATGATGGTTTGAGGGTGAGGTGCCACTATAGTTTTTCTTTAGTTTCATATTTATTGTTAATATTTATATAATTATATAAGTATATAATATTATTTTTTATTTAATTATTACGTTACCGTACCGACCATCGGTCTAACCGGTCTGACCGTATGAACCATGACCCTGCTAATCT